TGGGGGGGCAGTTAACATATGTGAAAGGATTAGAAAAATAAGCATCAAAATATGTCTTGAGGGAACCAGCAGTTAGTGTAAGGGCTATGTCGCTGGACTCCCACGTAGTCGACTGCGGTTCGTGTCCTGGACCCTGTGGCTTAAACTCACGCCAGGTACGTGTGTGTGCATGCCCAAGATCCTGAGAGGAAAATGGAGGAGAAAGGATTGCGGCGTGGCCATCCCCCCTGGGGGGTGATTTCTCGCTTTCTGTCCCTCTGTCTCTCTCTTGTCTGGTGAGCGCACATGCCCTATAGCGAAAACCTCTCCAAAGGGGAAAAAAAAAAGTCTTGGAATTCAAGTTGATAATTTGGTCTTAAAAATTATTCACAGTAGGCAATTATTATAAGTAATATTATTTTAGTAACACAAAGTAGAAAGTTTACGACAAAAGGTAGTTTAAGATCTTTTTTGCATGTGAACTTCCAAGAGTACAGACTGATTTCCGCATCTTAATCCCCAAGGCTCTACTTAGCTTTATTAAGTCTTATTCTTCTCTACCATAGTTTGACAAAGCAATACCCACTGACCACTTCTTGTGGCATGCTTGTTTTGTAGGGGGGTCTGATCGAGAAGAAATGAGAGGCTTTGTGGTGAGCTTAATATTAATAATTACATAAAGTTATAGAATTCCAGACTTGAAGACCTAAAAGGAGCTTTGGAGTTCATCTCCATTGTTGTAAATGAGGCCCCCAAAGTAGTGACTAAATATATGATACCTGAGTGTGCTTCGTATTGGGTCTTACTTTTCAGTTGTTAATTGCAAGACCAGCTAGCTTGAAAGAAGAGGTAGGAGAGTTGATTCAAAACAAAACAAAACTAAGGTTCTTTCCTCTGCAGATTCAGATCAGGAGCGGTGGTATGGGGCCGAGGAGTTACACTTCTGCTGGTGCTCTCCACATCTTCTAATAAAATTACGCCCCAAGGCAGTTACTCGTGAAGATGGCTGTTGGTTCAGTTTGTATATACCCATATCTTTTGAGGCCATTTTTATACACAAGTGCATGTTTAGGAAGCTGCCACATTTCCGTGACAATCGGGAAGAGAGCAGGCTCTGAATAGAGATTTGATGGTCGCGTAAGACTTAGCTCTGATCAGTCAGGGAGTTCTGGGGTTCCAGGCTACCTAGAACCCGGGCAGGTGGCTGTGGAGGCCCAGGTAGAGCTAGCACAGGTCACGTGATCGGCCCCAGTGAACTGTCTCCTCCAGGCAGCTGACCATTCTGTCTCGGCTTCTGTGCTGTCTAACCAGCTGCCAGCCTTTCCTTGGCAAGCTCCCTTAGTTATTATTGGGACATGAACTTGAGAGGGTCGTCAGCTGAGCAGCCTGCAGCCCTGTAAGGGTAAGATTGCGCTGTACTGCGCTGCTCTGGGGTCATCGCACCTTAGCACTCATGGCTGTGCTCCTGCGGGATTCCCATCGTCTCTTAGGGCTCATTCTGATGGAACTGAGCTTCACATCTGGTTTCTGTCCTCAAGTAGGAACTAGAATGCGGGAATGAAGCAGACCAGACCTGCATTGATTCTTAGCATCATAAAGTTCAATATGAACATCGGGTAACACAGTGAAACCTCTCTCAGATTTCATGTCGGGAAGATGACACATGCGGAGATCCTGGCCTGCAGAAATTAAGGGCAGAATTAGAAGTAGAACTGGGGATTCCAGTCTCAGCGACAGTGAAGTTCGGCAGTTATCCAAGCACCCAGACTTCGTGTTTAAGACACAGTGAAGTGCCTTGCGTGTGCTTAGAGACAACGTGAAAAAATTCCATAGGTCTGTACAATCTAAAGGCCCCAGGCTGACCAGTACCTCACCCACAAACCACTCACCACGGGGTTTATGTCGGCTGGTGCAGCCCTGTGCGTCCTTCAGTATTTGAGAGGTTTGTTTCATGTGGGCACTGCCGGTGCTTTAATGCCGTACGCTAAGGAATCTGTTTTCTTTTTAAATGATGGGTAAGGGTGGAGTTGATGTCACAGCTCAGAATATCGTAACATTACAGGTGATGGGCTTTTCCTTTTCTGTTTACATTTTTTATTAAAGCAACAGTTGTTTCAATGATTGTTTTTCAGTATGTGAATAAAATGTAATGATTAAATCAGCAATTGCTGATAGTATACCTATCATTTCAAACATTTATAACATTACGTACATTATTAACCATATTCTGAAACCCACTGCATTTTGTGACATTAGACAGTGTTCCCCTTTTCTTTTTTAATGGCCAGAGGATGCCTCCACTAATCAGAGAGGGAGACAAAGCACCCCCCATGGGGACGTGGTGACGCGGTCGGTCTTTGTCCCTCCACTTCAACATCCTGTAGAACTTGGGGTGTGGGTGCGTACACCAGGCAGGAATGTTGAACTATGGAAGCTGAGATCCAGCCTCCTTGCCGTGCTCGGAACCTTGTAACCGCTATGCTGTGCTGCAGGGTCACCACGTTCTGCCTGTCGGCATCTGCTGTTAATCAGCACCCCTCTGACCCACCCTACACCCCACGTCTCTGCATTGATGGATGAGGTCTGTTCCCAGTTGCCACATACGAGGGAGCATGTAGTGTTCTTTTAATCCTTGCAGAGCTAGAATGTGATACTTTATATAAAGATGCCATCCTATATAGGTATTCTAGTCAGGGAATGCTTTGATATTAGGTCAGTGTTTAAAAATGCTCTCTCAAGGATTTCATCATCATGGCCAGTTAAAAGAAATTGAACATCTGAAAACCTTTTTTTTGTTTTTTTTTTGGGAGAGGTTTTTGCTGTAGGGTGCGTGTGCTCACCAGAGAGAGAGAGAGAGACAGA